ATCGTAATCATAAGCTTAAATCTTTAGAACACGCTCACATGCTGCCCTTACAAAGGAAGGTGATTGTTGCTTAAGCTATTGAAGCAAATATGGCAAATGATTATGATATTCTACAAAAATCAACCTTAAAGTTCATGAGTAAATAAGTAGGGAAGAAAATGTTGGTTATCTCCTCCTTTATAATAATTATTTACGTTTAAACCAAATTAAAGATATGAAAGAATGAGATGTTGGAAGGTTGCTGAATTATTTCCAAAAACAATAGTTAGACAATCTATCATTTTTTTATGCTGTACAACTTGATGTGGATGGTTTGATAAGTATGGGTTTTGGGCAGATGTAAGAATGGTACTTGATTATGGCCATTTTGGTGATGTTATTTTACTTCGATACTACCTATAAAACTAACAATCTTTCTCTACTATTTGCATCATTCGTTAGAATAAATCATAAAAAAAAATGGTAATGTTTGGAGCCATGCTTCTTTACGATGAGCGTAATGAATCATTTGAATGACTTTTTAAGACATTTGTTCAAATAATGTCTAGTTAGAAACCAACATCTATTATTATAGCTCAAGATCAAGCAATGGTAAAAGCTGTAAAAAATATATTGTCTGAAACTACTCATTGATTATACGTTTGGCACATGTGGGAAAATGTAAAAAGACATTTGAGGTAGCATTTTCAAATGCATAACACCTTAGTTAAAGAGCTTTTGTATTGCATTAATAATATTTTATACAAGGAAGAGTTTGTTCATGCATGGGAAGATATGATTGGCAAGTATAATCTTTAAGAAAATACATGGATAGCTAAAACTTTTGAGAACAGAGAAAGGTTGGCAATGGCATTTCAAAAGAAAACATTTAGTATTGGGAGAAAGAGTACTTAACTAAGTGAGAGTTTCAATAACCAGTTGAAGAACTACGTAACTTCATGGTTAAATATGGTGTGATTCCTCAATTATTTTGAAAGATTAGTGGCTGATTTATGCTACAATGAGGTAAAATCTAATTATGACATAAGTCAACGCATTCCAATAATGAAGGTGAATGCAACCACATTAAGGCATGCTAAAGATGTTTACATTCTTAATGTTTTTAAAGAGTTTCAAGAAGAATTTGAAAAAATTTTCAATCTGGTTATTGAAGATTATAGTTAAAATGAATCATTCTTTGAGTATAAGATCGATGCTTTTGAAGAATATCAAAATCATTTTGTTAAATTCAACTTTTCAGATAATTCAATTTTTTATACTTGCATGAAATTTGAATTTTGGAGAATTCTCTGTTATCATATCTTAAAGGTGCTAAACTCGAAAAATATCAAGTTTGTATTTGAGAAATATATTGTAAAGAGATGGACGAAAGTTGTAAAGCTTGAAAGTGTAAGAGACATCAATAGAAGCACTAGAAGAAAAAATCCTAAGTTAGCTATAAAGAATTAAGTAGGAATGCAATTAAGTTGTCAACATGGACTGCTAAAACAAAGGAATGGTACATTGCTTTTAATAGAATCTTTAAAGGTAATGCTTAAGATAAAAAAGATTTCAACAGGTAAAACTAGTTGAATGGGTTTTAAAAGTTTAACAGTGAGCAACTTTGATGATTCTTATATAAAAGGTGACGAAGATGACGCTAAAAAATCTAATGTTATGGATGATTCAAAAATCATGAATGTGAAAGGATTAAAAATGAAAAGTGATAAAACTGGTGATAAGCGCAAATTTAATAGCTGTTTTGAAACTCAGTCCAAAAAACGAAAAGGTCCAAGCACTCAACCGTTTAATCATAATGTTGTTTTCATTAATCAAGTTAGAATTTGACCATTTTTTATAATAAGTCCAATAAGTTTACATGCTTATAGTGGATTCAATAGCTTAAATTTTTCTTTTATTTTTCTCCTATGTTTATTTTAATGAATAGAACTCAAATGCAAAGTAGACTTTACCATCTTTTGCTTTAAACATAAGTCATACATTTTCTTTGATATGCCATTTTACTACATAGGACAAAGCAACTTCATCCAACCCATAAATTCAAGTCATTAGAAGGTTTAATCAAATATGATTTCCTTAAAAAATTTCGATTTACATGCATAGGTTAAGTAAATCTACATGTTATCTTTAAATAAGGTTAAATCCTTATTTCTTTTGTGTTATATACCTAAGTCTCATAAATTGAATTTCATTACACAACCATAGGGTCTACATCTTGAACTTAAAAAGCTTCCTTCAAACAAATGTTTCTTTTGATATTTTTTGTAATAGTTCAGGTAACATTCAATAAGCAATAAAATGACATTTTGAAGCTAACATTCAATAGCTGGTGGGAATGACATCTTAAAGCTATTAAAGTTATAAAATGTTGTCACTAAAAATTAAGTTGTCAAGAGTTTGGGAAAAAAAATGATGTTTATGAATTTAGTTATATCATTTTAAAGTTTACTTTAGATGAAATCCCATGAATTCAATTTTTTTTTCTTTTTAGACAAAATGTTATTGTTGATATATCTATTTGAAACTTGTCACCTTGAATTTCAGTGTTATTGTTTTTGTTTTCTACCAAAATATATTTAATTATTAAGTTAGTATCAATTTAACTAAATTACCAATTTTATTGGCAAAACTTATGGTGACCAAAACAAAATTTGAAATGTGACATGTAGTAAACAAAGAAATCATAAATACACAAGTTTAACTAACAATAGTTCAAATTTGTATGGTTGCACGATCCTTAAAAAGATCACCAATATGTGGCTAATTAAAGTTAGAAAATTGATTGATTTATGCTTAATTAGATAAATAAATTAAGAATTAGAATATGTGAAGAATAAGATAATAAGGATGAGCAAACGTAATTAAATCTATATAATCACATTCAAGGAAATGCTTTCTTGTCTTTTGAATTATTCCTACAAATTATAAAATTTAGCTTTCTCAAAAAAAAAAATTACTACTTTTCTTTGTCATTTTACAAAAATAAGACATTCAAGCAAAAAAATAAAGAATATGAATTTCAGTAGACTTAAGTAACAAATCAAATAAAATTCCTTTTGATTGAGGTGAGACTTAAGAATCATGCTATCTTCCAAAAGAAAATTCAATGTTTCCAAGATGCAAAATAGTAGTTAAGTTGCAATCAAAGCACTTGCAAAAAATAGGTAAAAGTCGTCATTGGAACTCTTTTATTCTTCGGTACATTTTTTTTTGTCACCAAATCTACAGCAAGTATCTTAACTTACTGTTAAATTTATTGAAATCTCAAAATCCAGCAAAAAAGATTCAATAACTAAAATCACATTACTTTAAATTTTACCTTTAGTCCACTGCAATTAAGATGCTTTCCAATAGTTAAAATGTCAAATGGCTATGTAGCAATCATGCTTTCATTTTCCTATTTCTCTTTGCTTCAGCATTATACTTTATATAATGATTGGTCATCAAGTTCAAGGGTTGGCTTAGCTTTAGGCACATCAAGAATCAAATAGACCATTTGTTAGTGGAAGGAAATAAGTCTTATAAACTTAAATCCTACTTCAAAAAGAATTAAATATGCCATGCTGAAATATCTTTAAAATGACCTCTGAGTTGATTCTGGCACATTGTATAGCCACCTTCATACTAACAATTGAGCATCATAGCAACATATTTTCACAGATATAAAATTCCTATTAGCCATGTTCTAATGATAATTTGTCATGATTTGTAATATAATTGTAATTAGCCTTAACTAATTGAAAGTGTAAAGCTATTTGATAGCACATCAATTATCTAGGAACTACAACTATTAATAATGTATGTGATGAATATTAATATATAGCTTCATTTTAGTATAGACTCCAAGAATTTATGGCATACTGAAAGCAAATTGTAAGTTTGGCTTAAAAAGATTCTGTCATTATTATTTGGTGTGAACTAACCAGCAGCATAAATATCATCATTTTCAGCATCAAATTCTTCAACTGCATCAATTTCAAATCTAAAAGCAGTTTTTCTTGCTAGTGAATCTAAGCTAATTAGTTAAATCAAACTTTATTAATTAATTCATGCATGCAAAGCAAACTAAAGAAAGATGAAATGTTAAGAAATATGCGCCAAATAACTTGAAAAGGTATGCCTACAATACAATAGATCTTACACTTGGAACCAAAGAGATTATCTCCTGTTGATATAGCTTTTCTGCACCTATGCTACTTATTATTGGACAAGCGTGATATTTTTTTTTCTGAAAGCATTTACAAATAAAACAAGTTAAAAAGGTAGTAAGAAAACTACTTCTGACACCGACACATAGTTATTTTAAATAGTTATCCTTCAAGAAATCACGTACCTTTGAACTCAAGAGGATGCTTAAATAGATCATATCCTAAATCATTCGCTAAGAAATTAAAAATTAAATGAGAAAATTGAATGTTTAACATTGTGACAATTTATCAAACATATTAAAGACAACAATGGAGGTGCAAGAATTCCTTGTTGATGAATAAAGTTTACCTTGAAGACTTGTCAATTGAATAAAAAAACCAAGAATTTCACGGAGATGGCTGATGGGTTGAATGATTTTTTGAAAGGCAAACTTGCTAATTAAAAGGAAAAAGCTTTAATCCTATCAAAACCTTGATTTTTGAAAGTATTTGATTGCTATTGTCTTCAATTTTTTAGCTATAAGAGGATTTTGATCTTGTAAGAATAGGAAAAATTAAAAGATACAATTTGGACAGACAAACAAAAATTTTCATTTAAGAGAAATTACTAAAGAAACGATCTACTTTTTGTCGTTAACGTTAGTTGGATTTCATGTCTACGTGCCAATATCTCTTTGGTCCAAATCAGCAAATTATAAGATTGTAGGAGACTTAATTGCACCAATATCTCTACAATTCCACCACACCGCACATAAGCCTAAGGGATCATTTGGATTCCACCAAAACATAAGTGCGGTGAGATTTGATCACTTTTATAATTTGACCAGTTGGAAATGAAGACATCCATTCTACAGTTGTAACTATTTTGCCATTCTGCATGTTTTGTAAATATTTTGCCATTCTGCATGTTTTAATCACCAAAAAGAAATGACAGATGAGTGACATTTACTCATGTAAATATTTTGCCATGCATCGTAGTGAACTCTTAACTATATGATAATAAAACCAAGTACTCTCATCAGTTTCATATAACAATTTCAAATTGAAAATTATCCTGTTAAGAATGGTCCACACACCAGCACAGCTGACATCAGACAGGGGACAATGTGAAGGAGATGGTCATAAAAAGAGAATAATCTTAGTAACTTCTACCCCAATAGGTCCATTTCTTTGCAGGCTTCCCAGAGGCAAAGCATTTAGTACCTGCATAATTTCATTTTTCATGAGAAGAGAATTCTATAGAAGACGTATAATCTCCTCTTTTCTTTTTGTGGATGTAAGGTTACAAATAATCAAACAGCATTTACACATGAATTCCCTCAATACTAATGTAAGCAGAAATTTATAAAATTCTAAATGAGAAAAGACTGTGTTACAAAAGGATTAAGTAAGCTTTTCTTTTTTGATACAAAAGTGGTTGCAGCCTGGAGAAGAGAGGGGGATGCAGGTGCTGAGATTGGAACCCTAGATTTATTAGATACCACTTCTTAAGAGTGATTACATGAACCAACTGAGCTAAGCTTCAGGTTCAATCACAATGACACATTTGCAATCACATCTCACCTGAACCAAGCTCACTGGGTGCCGGATTTTTACTTAATCCTTCAAATTAATTGAACTACTGATTAATATTAATTTATTATCTCTTATTCCTCTTAATGTAGTATGATTTCTCTAAATTTCCAATAATCTTTTGTAGTTTGTCACAGATTAAGATTCTTGGCAGTTGCCCATTAGTGCATGCTGGTGCAGTAACAGTTTATTAAAAAACAAAATACTACTAGTATTATGAGGGAGGGAAAGTATCCTATTGTTTAAAATAAATGCCTGCTTTACCTTCTGGGAGTTCAGGCTGTTCAAACGGGGTACAAAGAGACTTAGCTGCTCCCATATCACCCTTCGTTCGTGCTTTCACGTCTTTCTCCACATCCTACATTTATACAAAACATTAAAAGTCTTTTATGAAACCGAGCAAGACCCATTCTAACCAACAAATGCCTGGAGAGGTAATCTTGGAAATTAATGACGTTCTAAATATGATCCAACTTATTTTATAACCAACAAAACACTTCAGCCTAATGATTCAATGCAAAGACTAAGTGTAGCAGATAAGCACTAAAGGAACACTGATTAAATACTAAATAGTCATGGTCCCTGTAAAGAATAAGGATTCTGCAAATTCAAGTCATACCTCCTCATCACACCAAGGAGCTAAGATCAGTTTCTTTTGCCCAAGAGCTGTTACAAACTCTTCCCAAGTTTTTACAACTTCAACACAGGCATCTCGTTTTTGTTTTGCAACGTCAAACAGGTTCTGTTGAATCTTATCCAACATTCCTTTTACTTGTTCAACCAAAAAGACTCTTGAGATATCAGTTTTTGCTCCATTGTCACGGCGAACTGCACGTACCTGTCAAATAAAGCACTTTTCTGGTTTTAACTGTATAAGTACAATAGCAAATTAATAAATAAAAGAATAGAAGGAAAGCAGCATCCAAAAAAAAGGGGGGGTTCACCTGATTATTTGCTAAGTCTCTAGGTCCTATTTCAATCCTTAGGGGAACACCTTTCATTTCCCAGTTCGAATACTTCCAAGCAGGTGAGTAGTTATCTCTAAGATCAGCTTCAGCGCGAATGCCAGCATCTGAGAGGGTTGCCACAGTGGCAACACAAGCATCAAAAATACCTTGAGTATCTGCATCTTTGTAAGGCACAGGAATCACAATAAGTTGCAAAGCTGCTACTTTTGGAGGCAGCACTAAACCTTTGTCATCCCCATGAACCATAACCATTACCCCAATCTGAGAAAATTTGAAAAACAGTAGAAAACATAAGCAGAGTAGCAGGAATAAGGAGAAAAGAATAGAAAGGGAATTATATGGTAGTTAAGGATTCCAACCCCATGTAATCACCCAAAACCACAAAACATAAATGGTAGGGATAGCATGACAAAGGACTTGAAACGATAAATGCTAAGAATGTTCTAAGTAAAGAGACAAAAAGTTTTACCGTTCGAGTACTATACGCCCAGGAATTCTGCCAGACCATACCCTTCTCTCCCTTTTCATTTTCAAAGTTTATCTCAAACATTTTTGCAAAGTTTTGGCCCAGACAATGGGAGGTTGCACCTTGAATACCACGCCCAGTGTTTGGAATAAATGCCTATCATATTATGAACAGATTAAAAGTTCCTCAATTTATATTAAAGCACATTGATCAAGCAGACAATTTAAGTTCGTTGTTCACGCCAATAAGTAGAGATTGTTATTACATGTATATATGCATAATAGTTTATACCATACCTCGACACTAGTTGTGTAAAGTCCACCAGCAAACTTCTCTAGTTCACTCTTCCTGCCTTTTGTAACAGGAATAGCCAAGAATTCTTCATATATACATCGGTACAGTTCCAATATTTGAAGAACCTGAAATATAACAAAATTTAGACATACGTAAAGAGACCCAGCTGACATCCCTACCATTGTTATTGGCTACTAAGTCCATCTTTTGCCTGTTTAGTTAACAGCATGAGATATCGCAAAGGATGTGAAAATGAGAAGCAGTACAACTATTGCAAGAGTGATTAGAAGTAGGAACTAAAGTCTAAAATCTACCAAGCACAAAGTATTTCAACAATAAATACATATAACTCAGCATGTCATTTTTGCCACCTCAGTCCCCCTTCCATAATATATTCACCAACAAAACCATATTTAGACACACATAAAAGGTTCTAAGGATCTAGCACATCCTTCAATGATACTTCAAAAGGCAAGACAAGTGAAATCTGTAACAGCAATGAAATATGACTTTGACTTTTGACACAGCACAGAAACCAACAAAATATTGAAATTATTCAAAATAAGATCACATGGGAAATTTCTGAAATGCTTACTTAAATCCTTCATTCGGCAATTCTGAGGCAAAAATGCCATTTTCAACCAAAATTTAATTGTAGATAAATATGAAAAAGAAAAGGATCAGCCATGCAAAATTTCTATTTACTTTAACCTTCCCTATTCCATTGTACACCAATAGAACAATGGGCAAACTTCAGCTCTCTAAGGTTGAAATGTTGATCAAAGGTAAAAATTTAAGTCTATGCTACCTCTGTGTCTGCCTCTTCCTTTGTTGCAAAGGCAGTATGCCCTTCCTGCCATAGAAATTCACGACTCCTACAATTAAGAAGCAAGTTAGTGGTGACCAATCTATCATCAAATCATTTTAAATTAATTTTCTAACTTGGCATCAAAAGAATTGAGAAAATAATGTTCTCATCTGTAAACATTAATAACTAAGGATAAGAAAATTGAACCAAGATTAGAAAATTTTACGAAAATTAACATCTCATTACATGTATGGCATACCATATCCCATCCACCGGGTGGAAGGAGAGGGGGGGAAAAGGATGCAGGATAACACCGGAAAAGCTAAAGTTGACCAATTTTAAGACAACTACCTGATAAATGGTGTGGGATTGCTAAATTCCCATCGAACGACATTGCACCACTGGTTAAGTTTCAAAGGCAAGTCACGGTGTCCTCTAATCCACTTAGAATAATAGGGATACATAACTGTCTCACTAGTTGGGCGGATTGCAATTGGCACCTCTAACTCAGACTCCCCAGATTTGGTCACCCAAGCAACCTGATTAAACCAGGATCCCAAAGCCATTCACATGTCATTTTTTCATTAGATCACATAACATTTCTAGTAAAAAAATGCATAAAACTTAAGTGTTGCATAAGTCCAGTGCTAAAAAGTATAAAAACATTGAAATATTGCCATTTTTTCAGCATATTCATGAAAGTATCTTGCTCAAATGAGGAAGAACTTGCCAAATTTGAGCCCTAGATAAAAAACTTTCTCCAATTTGAGCCCTAGATAGAAACTAAACTATGGATTTCCACAAAATGAAGTAAATCATTGAAAACAGGGCAAAAAAGTTTAGGAACAAAATGAGTTTCAAAAGGGTTCAAAAAGTTTGATAAAAAAAGAAACCAACACTTTCAAGCTGCAAAGCATTCCACAAGGTCAATTATGCCAAAAAAAAAAAATTGTTTCTCACCTCTGGAGCAAAACCCTCAATATGATCCTTCTCCTTTTGCAAAACGCCTGGAGATACAAAGAGAGGGAAATAGCAGTTCTTGATTTTCATTTTCTTGATTTCAGCATCAAAGAATGTCTACAGTTTAACACCGTGGATAAGTTAACCATGAAAGGAAACAGAAAGAAAACAAAGATCGAGGAATGAAATCCATAAATTTTTTTTCCTTGTAATTAATAAACACTTCTTATTTACATTTAAAGAGCAATATGAGTATAAACATCATATGACTCACTTGCATGATCTCCCAAATTGAAATTGCCCATGGCCTCAGAATATAACAGCCAGAAATGTCATAGTACTCAATCATTTCACCATTGACAACAGCCTACAAAAGCCAAGATGATGATATAACAATAAGATACTAAGATCTCAATAACATAGTATAACAGGCACTAAGTCATTGCACCTCAGAGTACCACTCCCCGAAATTCTCATCCTTGGTAAAGGAGAGACCCAAACCAGTCTCCTTCTTCACTTCCTTCTTTTTCCCTCCTAAAAATCAACAACAACAACAAAACATCCACACAATTAGAAACCGCCACACCTTTATGGCACATTACTAATGAAATCTAACCAACCTGAGCAAAAAAAATACTTACCACCTCCAGACTTGTTCTGCCTCTGCTCCACTCCAGCCATATCATCAACTTCGAGTACAAACAAAATAAAGCATTTAATTAGAACAATTAGAAACAGTACATACCTATCAGTTTAAACATTAATATCCCCATTAAGGCAAAATAAACCCCCTACCCTACTAATTACACATATTAATATAGTTTATCAACCTAATGACTTCAGTATCTGTTCAAGCCTACTTATGATGGGTCCTGAACATTCTAAAAAAATTCTTGGAGAACAACCATGTTGATTGGTGAACAAGCAATTACCGTTAACAGTTACCTAAACTTAGTAATTTTGACAAGATATAATGATATGACACTTAAACGATATAACTCGGTCTAAAATTTCGATAAAAACCATATATGAGTTTGGCATGTCAGACATGGATACGATAATTTTCATATTTTACATATGTTTGACACGAAATGAAACATATATGACAATGATACACGAATTGCCAGGTCTACATTTACCGCCTTTACCAACTTTGAGATCAAAGACAAAACTAAAAGTGATTTTTCCTGGACTGTCCGACGACCCTTTTACTTTATTAAAAAACAGAAACACCTGTAGGACACCGTGGCCATTCAGATCAAGGTTCAGATGGGTAACCATAAAACACCCAAGAAAACTAGAAATGCTTAATGTTGTCAGAGTCTAGAATTAGAACAAAAATATCATATAAAACTTACGAAAATAATAAATGAAAACTGCGAAAGTAAATAAAAGCGAAAGCATGTGGGAGATATGAAGTCCTTACAGAGAAATGAAATAGTGGTAGATTCTTTGGTTGCGTTAGATTCTCTTGACACAGTGAGGGGAAGTAAAGAAATATACAGAATGTTAAAAACGCTGGATTTTGGTAAAGCATGAAATTTGCTTTTTGGCTTATTTTGGGAAATGGATGACCCCGTTTAAGTGGGAAAAACAGTAGTCCGTTACTAACCTCAGGGCCCGGACCCAACTCAGTAACTAGTGAATTTCTGGTTTAACTGTAGACCATGAACCTTGGGTCCTTTACTGTAGACACGAACGATTCGGTGTGTGGTTTATATATATAATATATATATATATATACATTAAATTTATAAATTTATATCATATTTTATATAAAATTATGAATCATAATTTACGTGTAAATATAAAAATATAAAATATATTTTTAAAATTTTATTAAATTTATATATAATTATTATTAAAATTTTAATTGTATTAATTTTAATTTTTTATTTGAATCATATTTATATTATATAATCATATTATATTTTAAATTATCACATCTAATTCAATATACTGACTCAATCCAAAGAGACTAAATGGTTCTAATTTTGATTCTACTATACCAATAAATAAAAGTGAGTATAAATCGATTTTGATTGATTTGATTAATCAAAATCAATTAAATTCGATCGATTGTTTTGATCCATTTAGTTTTAAAAATTATTATTAAATAAAATTATTTAATGAATTTATTTGACCGGTTATTATTTTTAAATTAATAATTAAATCAATCAAATTAATTGATTTTTAAAGATAGTTTTTAAATTATATTACATATAATATAAATATAGATAAAATAATTTATATTTATAAAAATAACAAATATAATATTAATGATAAAATTATAGAGTAAATTTTATTTGATAAAAATTATTACAAATTATTAAAAATTAATGACAAAAATTTATTCAAATTTTGATTTTTCGATCACCTTTTGTCAATTCAATTATTTTTTATTTTTAAAAATAAATCAATCGATTTTTATTATATTTTTTAAAAGATCGATCTTTAAAGACCGAACCAACCAATTGCAAATATATTGGTATTCTTATTTTTCTTTTGCACTGGTGGGATAGCAGTTGACGCTAGAATGTTTAATTGTACTAAAGGAAATACAATACACAATTACAAAAAAGGTTATTTCTGCTTTTTTATTCTCCTTTTCTAGTTGAATTGTGTTGCAAAATCGTGATTTGGATTATAATAGTTTATAAAACATGTGAAAATCTTTGTTTTCCACTCAAACTCCAGTTTTGGTTAAGAATCACAAATCCAAATTGCGATTTCATTCCTATTTATGAATTCCAATGGAAAAAATAATCATTTTTCCCAAGACGATTTGGAATTCGAACAGCAAATAAAAAAAACAACAATTTCTTGTCACCTAAAACCTAACAAAGGATTTATTGGTGAAATCATTATACAAATTGAATTAGATTTAAACAAATTTAAGGTTCGATATAATGAATAATATAATATGAATCGAAAATAAAACATAAAAATAAAACGACTTAAAATTTATCAATAATTACATATGAAATTTAACATAATTAAAAAATATATTTAATTTTTAATGTCGACATAAATTAATTGATACGTAATTATTATGTAAAAAAAATGATAAAAAAAATATACCAAATTTTAATTAATTTTATACCAAACCGAATATACAATCGCCAAACCTCTCCGTTTAACATTTATATTTCACACCACTTTTTAAAGCAAAATTATTGCTCACCAATGCTTTAATGTGGCTTATAAACTAGGCACCAACACAAAATTTACTTACCAGTATACATTTCATTCAGTTGTTCTCAATCAAACCAAATTGTGAAATCACAAAACCTGAGTGCTCCAAATAGAATATTTGTTATCAGCTAGCTCAATTGTATACAAAACCAAAGAACAAAACTATTAAGAGTCTGATTTCCTTGAATTAGACTTTCTCCGGAACCAACCATGTTGCAGTAACTTCAAGGATACCATCGGAAGAGATTTACAAAAAATGGCATAATTTATATAAGAATGATACAAGGTAAAGTAAAACTATTTCTCTAGCAAAAGAATTTTCAACTAACTCTTCAACTAATTCAATTTTTTGTACTTGTATGAAATTCGAATTTTAGAGAATTCTCTGTTATCATATCTTAAAGCTGCTAAACTCAAAAAATATCAAGTTTGTATCTGAGAAATATATTGTAAAGAGATGGACGAAAGCTGTAAAGCTTGGAAGTGTAAGAGACATCAATAGAAGCACTAAAAAAAAAAAAGATCCTAAGTTAGCTATAAAGAATTAAGTAGGAATGCAATTAAGTTGTCAACATGGACTGTTAAAACAAAGGAATGGTACATTGCTTTTAATAGAATCTTTAAAGGTAATGCTTAAGATAGAAAAGATTTCAATAGGTAAAACTAGTTGAATGGGTTTTAAAAGTTTAACAGTGAGCAACTTTGATGATTCTTACACAAAAGGTGATGAAGATGATGCTAAAAAATTTAATGTTATAGATGATTTAAAAATCATGAATGTACAAGGATTAAAAATGAAAAGTGATAAAACTGGTGGTAAGCGCAAATTTAATAGTTGTTTTGAAACTCAGTCAAAAAAATGAAAAGGTCCAAGCACTCAACCTTTTAATCAGAATGTTGTTTTCATTAATCAGGTTAGCATTTGATCATTTTTTATAATAAGTCCAATAAGTTTACATGTTTATATTGGATTCAATAGCTTAAATTTTTCTTTTATTTTTCTCCTATGTTTATTTTAACGAATAGAACTCAAATGCAAGGTAGACTTGACCATCTTTTGCTCTAAACATAAGTCATACATTTTCTTTGGTATGTCATTTTACTACATAAGACAAAGCAACTTCATCCAACCTATAAATTCAAGTCATTAGAAGGTTTAATCAAATATGATTTCTTTAGAAAATTTCAATTTACATGTATAGGTTAAGTAAATCTACATGTTATCTTTAAATAAGGTTAAATCCTTATTTCTTTTGTGTTATATTCCTGAGTCTCATAAATTGAATTTCATTATACAACCTGTAAGGTCTACATGTTGAACTTAAAAAGCTTCCTTCAAACAAATGTTTCTTTCTGATATTTTCTATAATAGTTCAGGTAACATTCAATAAGTAATAAAGATGACATTTTGAAACTAACATTTAACAGCTGGTGGGAATGACATCTTAAAAATACTAAAGTTATAAAATGTTGTCACTAAAAATTAAGTTGTCAAGAGTTTGGAAAAAAAAATGATGTCTATGAATTTAGTTATATCAATTTAAAGTTTACTTTAGATGAAATCCCATGAATTCAATTTTTTTTTCTTTTTAGACAAAATGTTATTGTTGATATATCTATTGGAAACTTGTCACCTTAAATTTTAGCGTTATTGTTTTTGTTTTCTACCAAAATATATTTAATTATTAAGTTAGTATCAATTTAACTAAATTACCAATTTTATTGGCAAAACTTATGGTGACCAAAACAAAATTTGAAATGTGACATGTAGTAAACAAAGAAATCATAAATACACAAGTTTAACTAACAATAGTTCAAATTTGTATGGTTGCACGATCCTTAAAAAGATCACCAATATGTGGCTAATTAAAGTTAGAAAATTGATTGATTTATGCTTAATTAGATAAATAAATTAAGAATTAGAATATATGAAGAATAAGATAATAAGGATGAGCAAACGTAATTAAATCTATATAATTACATTCAAGGAAATGCTTTCTTGTCTTTTGAATTACTCCTACAAATTATAAAATTTAGCTTTCTCAAAAAAAAATTACTAGTTTTCTTTGTCATTTTACAAAAATAAGACATTCAAGCCAACAAATAATGAATATGAGTTTCAGTAGACTTAAGTAACAAATCAAATAAAATTCCTTTTGATTGAGGTGAGACTTAAGAATCATGCTCTCTTTCAAGAGAAAATTCAATGTTTCCAAGATGCAAAATAGTAGTTAAGTTGCACTCAAAGCACTTGCAAAAAATAGGTAAAAGTCGTCATTGGAACTCTTTTATTCTTCGGTACATTTTTTTTTGTCACCAAATCTACAGCAAGTATCTTAACTTACTGTTAAATTTATTGAAATCTCAAAATCCAGCAAAAAAGATTCAATAACTAAAATCACATTACTTTAAATTTTACCTTTAGTCCACTGCAATTAAGATGCTTTCCAATAGTTAAAATGTCAAATGGCTATGTAACAATCATGCTTTCATTTTCCTATATCTCTTTTGCTTTAGCATTATACTTTATATAATGATTGGTCATCAAGTTCAAGGGTTGGCTTAGCTTTAGGCACATCAAGAATCAAATAGACCATTTGTTAGTGGAAAGAAATAAGTCTTATAAACTTAAATCCTACTTCAAAAATAGTTAAATATGTCATACTGAAATATCTTTAAAATGACCTCTGAGTTGATTCTGGCACATTGTATAGCCACCTTCATTCTAACAATTGAGCATCATAGCAACATATTTCCACATATATGAAATTCCTATTAGCCATGTTCTAATGATAATTTGTCATGATTTGTAATATAATTGTAATTAGCCTTAACTAATTGAAAGTGTAAAGCTATTTGATAGCACATCAATTATCAAGGAACTACAACTATTAATAATGTATGTGATGAATATTAATATATAGCTTCAT